TTTTCTAGCTCACTGATTCTCTGCTTCTTCTAATCTACTATTGATTCTTTCTATTGTGCTCTTTATTGAAGCAATTTTATTTTTCATTTCTTTTTGGTTCCTCATTTACTCTTGGTTCTTACACATATTGTTGAATTTGTCTTCCATCCTTTTCAGTGTCCTTATGGTCATTGCTCTGAATTCTCTCGCTGACAAATATGGCTCCATTTTGTTTACTTCCTTTTCTGGTGATTCCTCCTTTTCTTTTGTATGGGGCTGTTTCTTTGTCTATTCATGTTTGCTATTCTCAGGGTGTCTGATTATGTAGCTCTCTTTCTCCTGCGTTGACTTAAAGACACAAAATACAACACAACAAGACACAATGCACAGGGCACCAAATACAAATGTATTCGCAATACCAATAATCCCAAACAAAGAAAAGAGAATTAGGGGAGAGAAAATATTGCAAAAATAATACTGAGAAAAGAAAGAAATGCAAGAGAGAAAAGAAAGAGAAGAAAAAAGAAGGGGGGGGAAAATATATGTATATGGGGGGAAAAACTTCAAAAAAGATATAGCTAATCCAAAAAATGCAAACAACAAACACCCTAACAACAAACACACTGCTGGATCTTAGGAGGCAGAACTTATTTCCAGAAGGTAAGGTCAGAGAATCGAATGAATGGGAAAATGTCCACGATTCAGTATAGAGGAGGAGAAAGAGAATGAGTGTATAAGAAGGAAAGTAAAAAACAAAATACTAGTACCAAAAAAGAGAAATATATATATATATATATACGATATATATATATATATATATATATATATATATATATGTGTGTGTGTGTGTGTGTGTGTGTGTGTGTGTGTGTGTAAAAGAAATTTTATATATTAAAAAACTCCCCTTTCTTTAATCTGTCTATACACTGAGTGGCCAGATTATTATGATCTCTGAATGCATAATAATCTGGCCACTCAGTGTATATCCTATATAATAAAAGGCTAATATGCAAATTGTCCCCTCTACCAGGAGTTCAACCAGCAGGTAGGCCAGCCAACTGCCCATGTCCCCTCTCCCTAGCTAGGCTGGCTGGACCCCAGCCATGCACGAATTCATGCACCGTACCTCTAATGTATGTATACACTCACACACACACACACACACACACACACACACACACACACACATACTGAGTGGCCAGAGTATTATGCATTCAGGGATCATAATAATCTGGCCACTCAGTGTATATTCATTTATTATTGGAAAAGGAGAATAGAGAGTAGATAGGCCAGAGTTAGTGATTGGAATCAATTAAGCTATTAGTAGAAGAAGAAAACAAGCAAGGAGAAGAAAAACAGAAGCAAAAAAAAAAAAAAGAAAAAGAAAAGAAAAAAGGGGGGAAATTACAACAAGACAGAAAAAGGAAAAAGGAAAAATATTTGGCTAGTGAAGAAAGATAAGAGAAAAATATGCATAGACTTGAAGGATGGGAGAGGAAATTAGATATGTGAGTAAGATCAGTTTTAAAACAGGAGTGAAAAGAAAGTATAGAGAAAAACTAAAGCAGGAACAGAGTAAGAGAAACAGGATGAAAAAGGAGGAAAGTGAGGAAGAAAGTGTTGGCATAAAGGAAAAAATTGAGATAGAGTAAAATAATGCTAAAATAAAAATAAAAATAGAATGTAGAACACTGATCCCAAAATAAAATAAAATAAAAAATAAAACTTTTTTAAAAGGTAAAATATTAGCAGTAATAATTTAAAAGGTGAAATCAAGTGAGAAAAAAATAGTTTCTTAAGTAAAAGGTAAATAAAAAAGTTAAGTAGTGAAGGTTATTCACTTCCTGTACTGTTCTGCCTGGCTTGTATTTTTCTTGTCAAGTAGTCAGCACAGTGTTGAAATTCCCTGTGACCCATTGCTCCTGTGTGTCATAAGCCACAACCTTGTTTTCAAGCAGCTGGATCTCTCTGCTCACTTTGTTTCTCTATCTGCCTTCAGTTATATTTACACAAGTGTCAATTTCTAACACAACCCTTGGGTGGCAGTGTTTCTGTATTAATTTCCAAGACCAAATAGCTCTTCAGCCCAGTGTATAGACTCTTCTTTCCCTGCTGCACTTAATACTGGGTTGAAAGGATGTACGGACCCAGAGCTTGTTTCCTGCTCATCTCTCCTTATTCCAATCCCCAGTTTCTACAGAAACAACTTCCCCTGTAGTCTCGGTGAGTGTTTTTAATTAGAAGATACTGTGTACTGGGCTTAGTAAGCAAAAGCAAGGTATTAAAAAAGACAAAGGAACCATGCCAACACGCATCTTTCTCCCCGAAGCACTGTGTGCCTAGTAAAGAACTTCAGTCTGCCTTTCTGGGGCTTATATCTAGAGTCCCCCTCTGCCAGAAACCTTGTGGACCCCCTTCCACATTTAAGGGTACACTGACCCCAAGGGCCATGGATTTGGTGGAGCACAGTCTCCCTCTGAGACTCTAGTCCTTGCTGCACTCGTTTCTCCCTCCAACCCAGAGATCAGATCTCACCTCTCTCCAGGGGATCTCTGACTTTTCTGTTCATAGATTGTTTCACCAGCTGTGTTTAATTTGCCAATTCCAGGTGGGTATTATCTGATTCAGCTGTTCCTTCTATCTGCTCTGTGAGAAGGCTCAGGGCCCATAAGCGTATTCAGCAATGCTTTGTCTCCCCCTGGACAAACTTTTTAGGTGCAAGTGGCCACAGAGGCTGGAGTTTCTGTGTTCATGGGTTTGCAGCCAAGGCAGCTGGTCCCTGGGTATTGTGGTTTTAGGGTTTCGGGAGGTATCCAAGGTCTCCCCGGTTGAAGGTAAGGCTGGGCTTCCTGTCACAGCCGCTCTTCCCTTTAATATGGTACCATCTCTGCTGCAGAACTGGCTACTCCAAGAGAGATTTCAGCAGTTGTAGAGGCTGCCTGGCTAAGGGAACCTGGTCCACCAGTCTCCAACAGTCCTGTGGAATATAGCTGTTCTTCACAAATACACATGTCCACACATTCTCCTTTCACTCTCTCACTCACACACTATCTTGCAACTTGCTGGCCTGTCAGCCACCATCTTGGATCCAATTTTTTACTATGTGTACCAGTTAATAAAGCGGATTTTTTTTCAATAGAGTTACCCATATGTATGTATGTATATAAATACACATGTCCACACATTCTCCTTTCATTCTCTCACTCACACACTATCTTGCAACTATACACACACACACACACACACACACACACACACGATTTGATATGTATGCTATTTTGTTAACAGCTAGCTTCAAAACTTCGTATGTCAGATTTGTTGAAGGTGTTAACATCATAGATATTTTTATGCTTAAAAAGGTTGAATTTCACCCTAACCAGTTTGGCTCAGTGGATAGAGTGTCAGCTTCATGATAACACACCATCACACAACTTCAAAACCAGTTAAAGACGCATTAAAACATCTCAGCCACCCGCCTTATTCACTAGACCTTGCTCCTTCACATTACTACTTGTTGCCAATGGGTGGCACATGTACTTTCTGAGCAGCACTTCAAAACGTATGAAAAAGTGGAAAATTGAGTTTCTGAATGGTTTGCCTCAAAACAAGAAAAGTTCTATTGGGACGATATCCACAAATTACCTGAAAGATGGGGAAAATGTGTTGCTAGCAATGGACATTACTTTGAATAAAGCACTTTTGATGTTTCTCTTGAAATTATCATGTTTTCTTTGATTTCAAAATCAGCCATTATTAACCGGTACACCTTGTATTTCTAGATGCAAGATTTTAAAAACTCTAATTTTACTTGAAACTTAATGTCCATTGTTTTTCTTGAAGTGACTGGCTTACTTCATTCACTTTCTAGAAAATGTCTGCCAAATGCTTAAGTCCAGATAACTGGCTTGTCAGTCGCTTTGAACTAACATTGGTGTTCATGAAACAAGTGACAGTACAGTTCACAACACGGGCTGCCCCAGATGTCTGGTAGGAACAGTTCTCCCACCTTGGTGTACAGCAGCAATCCTGTGTGCATACTTTCCACTTTATCATATAGAATATTTAAAAGTTGTGTAATCAAGATCCAGATTTAATAAAATAATTTTTACTATTTCATAAAGAATGATCTTAAACTGATTGCTTTTAAACTGCAAGTGTGTTTCAGTGGATGATTTTACAGTTTGGTGCCACTACCTTCACCTATGCTTGGGCTCTAGCAGTTGCTTTTGTACCACGGGTATATCCCTTCATTAGTGTAAGGGCAAAGAATACTGTAGTATGATTATCAAAAGACTTTAATCTATCAGATATCCTGCAAGGGATCCATGGATCACTATAGTACCGTGTTTCCCCGAAAATAAGACATCCTCTGAAAATAAGGCCTACTTACAGGTTTCCTTCTGAGTGAAATATAAGGCATCCCCCAAAAAAGAAGCCCCCCCACTCCAGGCTAAACATGAGAAATTTGGTCCACTGATTCTGAAAGAAATGGAGTCACAGGAAATTCAGGAATTGGATTGTTATGATGATGTTCCAGAAGGTGATGACATAATTGTCATTGAATGAATGAGTAAATTCTTGATACTGTAGGATTCACAGTTTGTCTGGTTTGTTTTGACAACTGCTGTAGTACCATACTGTATACAGGTAATAAATTTCCTTTATTTTCATTTAACAATAAATTTGTACAGTATTCTTCTTCATGGAAAAATAAGACATCCCCTGAAAATAAGACCTAGCGCATCTTTGGGAGCAAAAATTAATATAAGACACTGTCTTATTTTCAGGGAAACAGGGTAGAGGCCTCCTAGACTAGGAGGTTAATTTTCTAAAGCCAAATGTAATATTTCCTCTGGCCTCTTGGATACCCTGCTTTCTCCCTCCTTCCATCTTGTTCCAGGGCCTTCTCAGTGCCAGATTGCTGCACTGGGTCTGGGTGTATCCCTCATTGGGTATATCCCTTCATGCGGTTTGGGTGGAGCAAGCTTAACTACACACCTGACACTGCCCTTTCCCCTCAGCTCTGAACCATCACATTCACTCAATGAAGACGGCCTCCGTTGGAAACTTAGGAAGGAGCAGGCCTCCCATGCCCGTGGTGGTTCCCAGTGCCCCCGAAGTGCAGGAGACCACAAGGATGCTGGAAGACTCCGAAAGTGTAAGTTCATGGGACCAACAGCCCAGCCAGCTTTCCAGGAGCATGTCCCAGGACATGAGTGTGCAGGTCCTACTGATGCTGTGCTGGGCCAGACTTTGAAGCAGGTTCTCTCATTCACTCTGTAGACATGCTTGATGGAGCATCTCTCTGAGCCAGGAACTGTGTGGAAGCTTAGATCTGCTTTCTCTTACACTCACTCTGATGTATCTTGGATTAGCTTATCTTACCAGCCTAGCTAGTGATTTTTTTTTTCTCCCCAACCCACCACCCTCCTCTTTTTAATCTACTCTCTCTCTCTCTCTCTGGTCCTCTTTTCTTGGTTTAAGTCATCCACATGTTCTTTCACCCTTCAGTCCTACTTCCTGACCTTTTCTGGGCAGGATGCTGGAGGGGAAAATGCCTAAGTGAATACTTGCACACCAAAAATAAACAGGGTCGCCCTCGCTGGTTTGGCTTAGTGAACAGACCATCGGCCTGCAGACTGAAGAGTTCAGGTTTGATTTCAGTCATGGGCACATGCCCAGGTTGTGCGCTCATCCCCAGTAGGGGACATGCAAGAAGCAGCCCATTAGTGATTCTCATCATTGACGTTTCTCTCTCTCTCTCTCTTTCTCTCTGTCTCTCTCTCTCTCTCTTCCTCTGAAATCAATAAAAATCAACAGGACTTTCCCTTGGTTTTTATCTCTTACATTCCAGTAAATATGTCTGAGACTGCATTTCCAACTATAGGACTCTTTAAGAGGAAAGCTCGGAACCCAGAGATTATGGGACATATTGATTGTGACAGAGACCTAGACAAACTGAGAAGATTGTTACTCTGGACAGAGTATGTTGGAGGAGAGGCATGTTGCATTGTGAAGAAATGAGTGGTTGCTGGCTTGGGAGCTGAGTGGCCTTGGCACCTCCTTCAGTCTGGTCCCTCTGGACCAGCAGGGTTTCCATTGTCTAGTCTCTCAGGGAACTTTACAGACTCTCAGGCTCTCTCTGGGCTCGTCTTCTGGATGGCTCCTCCAGTCCGGGTCGCACCCAGTAACAGTGTTCTCTTTTCCTTAGAGCTATGAACCAGATGAGCTAACCAAAGAGATGGCCCACCTGGAAGGACTAATGAAGGACCTCAACGCCATCACGACAGCATGACGTCCTTCACCAGGACGTGACTCCTGGTGAAGTCAGTCTAGAAGTCTTGGGACTCAGCTTGGGAACAAGGAATTGTACAGAGGATGAGAGACAGCACTTGAGAACACAGTGTGAACACGCAGACAAGCCTGCATCTGCATGGGGCTGCTTCTGGTCAGCCCAAAAGAAGCCCATGTCAAGGCAGCTTCCCTTTACCTACTGGTACACTACAGGATCGGGCACCATGGGCCAAAGTTTTGTGTCTAGGGAAGAGGCAAGAAACCTAGCCTCCCTTTTACTTTGTGGTCAGGCTGTGTCTTCGTGCTATGACTGCATCGCCTTTACAGAGTATAGACATTGGCATTTATGTTCAGTTTTATTTGCGTCCTATTTTACCTTCAGAAGAAAAACACTATTAAACCAAGGATGTCGTGGTCTTCTCCACAAGTGGTTGACATTTGACTTGTCTGAATTATGTATGGAAAGTCATCAACAGCGTGGGTTGTTCCAGGGGTAGGCTTGTTTTTTTGTTTTTATTTTTTAATTATGAGTCATTGCATCCCCTACCAGCTGTTAACCCATCACTTTGAGGGGGGAAGAAATGTTGCATTGCTGTTTGTAAGCTTTTTTATTATTTTTTTAATTATAATTATTGAAGGTCTGACTTTCTCCTCTCATCACTGTGAGACTACAGATCTATTTGAATCATATGTAACATTGAAAGGACTTATTTGTTGCTTCTGTGCAGTTTCAGTATTGGGGTGGGAGGGAGGGTTGGGAATAGGAATTGGAGCGGCTGCTGAGTTCCTGTGAGTGTTTCCATTGTACTTTTTTCAAGAAGCCTGCGGAGAATGGAAGCATCTACGTTATTGTCCTTTCCTAGCACATCCATCTTTATTGTCACTAAATTGCAACTGGAGTTTCATGTGGACTAGTTAAAAATTACTTCTGTGCAATAGGTGGGTTCAAGGATTTAGCTGCCCTGTGTCTTGGTCAGATCCTGATGAGAGTGCCCATGCCGAGCAGTCAGGTACTGTACTCCCACTTGCAGGGGTATTGCAGACAGGGCAGCCCTGCTCCTGGGCGGTCAGAGAACAGGGTGAGCCTTTTTCCTGCTTTTGTCATCTGTTCCCACTGGGAAAGTTGAGGTTTAAGGAAGGAACTTTGTTTCCACTTAGGACTCCTTGCATCTCTCCAGTTCCTATCTTCAGCCAGCTCACAGCTCTCCCTTCCATGTTTCAGTGGCTGCTTTACCCCTGAGGCTCCCACTTCCTTCTGAATGTGGTTCTTAAGTAGCATTGGACAGGGACAGTGGTGAGGGGCACAGGAGGCAGCTTTCCCTCCTCCATCTAGCAGCTCAGCTAAGCTGGTTAAAATGGGCAGCAGAAGGTTTCTGAGGTACACTGAATGGCCTGGCCACACACAGAAGCCTTTGTCTTTGCAAATAATTCATTTTTTTCTTAAAAAAGTAAGGACCTGTGTTTGTTCTTTTGTTTTTTGTTTTTTATATTAAGAATATATTATGAAAAAATACAGGAAAGCCCTTCAGGCATTTCCCCCAAGAGAATGTGGAAGGCAGTAGAGAACAGCAGTCGCCAACTGGTGGTCCATGGGGTCTGAAAGGGCGACCACTGCTCTAGCCGATGAACTCTTTGTATTTATTGTTTTGGGGCAATGAAAGGTGCAGTGCTGGGACTCCTGCTGCCACGCCCCTGTTCACAGATGGTACTACCAGGCAGGGTTCTGCGAAGCCAGTGCACTTAAACTGACCCTGAAAAGAGCACTCACCAGGCGGCTGATTCCCTAGGAACTGGCTCACCTTCGCCCAAAGAAACATGCTCGGTGTTCAGGGCATTTCCTCTCATGAATCTTAACACCTGTTACCTCAGGGCCTTGGTACCTGGACACTGCCACAAAGCTGGGGTGGGTGGGGGACTATTTTTAAATAAAGTAACTGCTCAAAGTTGGGAATTTTTTAAAATTAAGAAAAAGGAAGCTATTCTGAATTGCACCTTTTCACAATTTAATACATTTTCTTACATTTCCTGTGGTTTTTTAAACGAAGCCATTGTATGTGATATAATGTCGTAGGTGAGCAGCTGCTCAGCAGCTTTTTTCAGGAGCATCTGGAACAGATGTGTCTGCGCCTTGTTGCCTGCAGGGGCCCTCAAGGGCTGCTGGGACTACTTGCTGTACACACTTGTTTGGCCTTTTCTGTAGTTGATGCTGTAAACTCTATGGCTTTTTAAAAAACAATTTCATGTTTTTATTTAGTATTGGAAATCCAATACACTTTTTTAATCCATTCAAACTCTGGTCTAAGTGTTATTTTCCTTAAGAAAACAACTTGGGGTCCCCTGTTTCCCAGCCTCAAATTGACTTCACCATTTCCCTCACAACTATAAAGGCAGGAGTTCTCAGGACACCGTTGAGGTGTGGCCAGAGAGCCAGGAGACTGCAGGCAGAGGTTTCCCATTAGCCCTGAAGATGAATCCTGTCCCCACCTCTCACTGCTGCCCAGCAGGGACTGAGCAGCCTGAGGAACCACAGATGACTTCTGTCAGAAAACCCAGCAGAAAAGTGCACCTGCTGAAGGGTGTGTGGGCCTAGTCTGTGGCAGTGCCCTGGGCAGCAGCTGATCCTGTTGGCACATGACAGAGCACCCACACTAGGCCTGGGCCTTCCCACTCCCAACCCTCCTCTCTTGGGTGTGTGACACCTAGAGCAGTTATCTATAAGGAGTCCCAGCCTTTCCCAGGCTGCCTAGCCTCACACATTTGCTTTGTGCCTTAGTTCAGGCTACTATAACAAAAATACATTGACTTAATTAGCAAACATCTATTTCTCAAAATCCTGGAGTCGGGGAAGCTCAGGGTACCAGAGTTTTGCTGGTGTCTGTTTCCTGGCCCATCCTATCTAATAAAAGTATAACATGCAAATTGACCATACCTCTGCTACACCCACCAGCCAATCAGGAGCAAATGCGCAAATAAACCCAACCAAGATGGCTGTGGCCACAGAGAGCAGGAGGGAGGCTTGGGTTTCCCTGGCAATGGAGGAGGCCAAGCTTTTTGCCTGCCCTTGCCAGCACAGGCCTCCACTCAATGCTACAAAGTTTCAATGATAGAAAAGTAAGTCCCAACAAAAATGATGGCAGCCACAGAGCTGGAAAGAGCAGGAGATGGAGCTTTCCATCTGCCCTTAATTATAGAAGATAAGTCCCAGATACCAGGGCCTCCACTTGGATTGCCAGGGGGAGTGGCCAGCCTGCAAAACAGCATAGGATCCTTGCTCAGACCACCCTATGCCCCAAGGGAGCCCCCACCCTGATCCAGGACACCCTTCATGGCAAACCATCTGGCCCCCACCCGTGCACCAGGTCTCTATTCTATCTAATCCTACCTAATGAATAATATGGAGGTGGAATGGAAAGTCGTGTCCTGAGCCTCGTCCTGGAGCGGAGCGGATAGAGGGAGCAGCTGAAACTAGTGGAATTCAACCCAAATTTGGTGAGGAGATGCAGCTGGTAAGATAGTTTGCACCCAGAAAGGGCAGAAGTCCCCGGAAATAAGGTAAAATCAAGGATCTAAGTGGGAGTATCTGCTGAGCTTCTGTGTCCAAAAAGGCAGGGGGAATCTACAGGGTGCTGGGCCACATCCCTGATGACAGGCTAAGCATCAGTCTGTGAGAAATAAAAGGGGGGGGGGGGGGGGGAACCAACGAACTGCGGGAGGTTGGGGATTTTGGACCTTGGAGTCTGGATTTTAGCTCTGAGCAAACTCTGAAAGGTTAGCTGGATCATGCAGTGCCAGCAAGAGAGAAGCTCTCAGGGATGCAGTCCCTCCTCACACTGCGGCCTGTACCTCCTCCCACTGAACCTGGTTTGTGGGCCCTTTTGGATACACTTACCGTGGCTGAGGTGCAGGAGAAAGTGTGGGCTTGTGGAATCAGGTAAGAGTGGGTGGTGATCTAGGGGAGGTGGTGGTGGGTTTGTTGCTGAGTCATCTAAGCCCAGTTGCCATTTTCTCCTGAGAGAGGGCCCTGCCCTTGGGTCTCCAGGCAAACAACATAGCCACACCCAGATCACACCTTGATAAAACAAGGAATATGAATACTCCCTGAGGATATAGGAAGAGCCTAAAGACTAATCTTTAGCCCCAGCAACCAGGAAACTGACAAACAGAACAGTACAGACAAATGGAATCATAAGCCAGCCAAAGGAAGACACTCTACTTTTTTTTTCACTTTTTTAATTTTTCCCTTTTTTCTTCTTTCCTGCTTACCTACCTATCTTCCTTCCTTCCTTCCTTTCTTCCTTCCTTCCTTCCTTCCTTCCTTCCTTCCTTCCTTCCTTCTTTTCTTTCTTCCTTCTTTCTTTCTCTTTCATTCTTTCTTTCTTTTTTTCTTTGTTTTGCTGCTCTGGTTTGTTGCTTTTCTTTTATTCCTGTTTGCATTATTTCTCATCACTATTTTTTATTTGCTATTTTTAATTTTTTATACCATTTTTGCAATCAATTTCTTTTTGTCAATTTATCATTTTTTCTTCTCATTCTCTTTCCTTTCATTCACTTATTCCCTTTCTACTTCCTCAATACTAAATTGAGGTCCTCCCCATATTCATCCAATTCTCAATCTTATTTTCACTATATAAGTTTAGCCTCTACAGATTCTGCTCCAATCCTCTTATTCTTTTGTCTTTTAACCCATATCTTTTTCTTTCTCTTCCATAGCATTTGTGCTCTTTTCGCTGTCCTATATCTCTTTTCTCAGGGGGTCACTTACACTTGGGTTTTTGGTGTGAGTACATCTGTGTTTAGTTCCCTCGGTGTTGAGTCTTGTTGAGGTAAATTTTATCCGATCAGGCCAAGGAGCTTGAGAGCAAGCCACAATACTAGACACCTGGAGAAGAAATTTCATCCACAACAGGGTCAACAGCACCCCAGAAACAGCTACAGAGGCAAAAAGAACGTGACAGTGAGTAAAAGAGCATGAATGAATGAGGGAGTAAAAGAAGAGCGTGTGGTCAGGTGGGGTATATGTGTGTAAGTGAGTGAGTGAGGCACAGTTAGATCCCACAGGACCTTCAGGGGCAGGCTGATCAGGCTCGCCTAACTAGGAGGCTTCTGCCACAATCGCAAACAGTACCAGAAGGCCACCTTGTCCTAAGGGGCCTCGCCTTTTTGAAGGGGAGAGCTGCTGTAACTGGGTTCCCAACCTCAACTCCAACCAGAGTGCCCTCAGATGACACCTGGAACTCAACTTCCACCCCTGCCAGGGGCACACTACATAGGCTGAGATCCCATGGCCAACGAAGCTCCAGCTGCCCAGGGCACAGGCTCCTACGAGTTTGGAAGCAGGTTGCCCTCTGACCAGCCCAACGCTTTAGCCCAGGGCACTGCAACCACATGAGTAGCAGACATGTGAGCAGCAGCCTGCTCCTGTCCAAGGAACAGCAGACCCCTGAGGAACCTCCACAGGACTAAGAACAGCAGCTTCATGTGGCCTGCCCCTGTCAAAGGAGCAGCGGCTGAGGGAGCAGCAGGTTCGTCAGCAACCTCATAATCAGCCCAACCCCGTCCAACGAACAGAAGCTATATGAGCAGCCTCCCCCACCAGCCAGAGGAGGCACCACTGCTGCGAACAGCACCCACCAGAGGAACTGCAGCCAACCGGAAAGCAGCTGCTACCATAGAGCAACTGCAGCCAGAGAAGCTACTGCCACCTGAGGAGTAGCCCCTGCACAGCTTGACATCTAGATCATTCAGTGAGACCAAAAATGGGTAAACAAAGATGCCACCAAAGGAAAGAAAAGG